AATAAATAAATAAAATCTTAAAAAAAAAAAAAAAGAAGGTAGGACTTGTGGAGACACGCTGTGTTTTATGCTAATGGAATAAACCAGTATCCTAGCTTTCTATCTTTTTTATCTTAAAAGAAGTCCATGAATCTTAAAAAATCCTAAATTGCATCCATAGTACCCAAAGATTTACTATACCTTTTTCTTACATATCAAATGAACGCCAAGAAGCTTCTTATGACCGGGGCTTTGTTAACAAAAGTTGGATGGCTTTAAAAATGAAAACCTAACTAATGGATCAACTTATTTATTCATGAGATTCAGTTTCTATCAAACTTGGAGAATCAATTTACATTATAAAATGCTAAACCATTAGCATTATAAGCTGCAACCTTAAACCAGTTTCTCAGCTGCTCATCCAAACCCTCTCTCAACCCTGAGAAATGTGGTTTAGGGGAGAAACAGAATATGGATGCTGCAGAAAGGAGGGAGCAGTGGTCACAGAGAAGGGTGGGAGAGAGTAGAGCACACAGGGGGATGCACAAGGAGAATATTTCCCCAAAGCCATTGCCTTAGAAAATGAGAGGGGCTGAATTTCATGAGTTCTTGCAACAAATGAGGCTTAAAGCCTGGAGTATTAAATTTCAGCGGGCATGGCTGGGATAGAGCTCTGAGGGTACTGCCCTGGCTCTGAGAAGGAAGCAGGCAAGCAAAGTAGTGGCAGACAGCATGGAAACAGCAATTTGAGGAATGCCTGGGGCACACATTAGGGAAATTACTCAATTCTTGGAGACTTTTCCAGAGAGGCAGCATTCAATGAGACACCTCTCTGGGGACAAAGGAGCTGGCTGGAGCCATTTACCTCACCCAACCCCTCAGTATAAACAGAATCGTCTATGGGAAGCAGCAGTGCACCAATGGCTGCTTAATTTGCTTATACCAAGCCTCACACCCCTGTGCTCTAGCGGGACTGCCCTTCTCAGCCAAGTTTGCCTCAGTCCAAGCAAGGTGGACACCTCCCCCAGAAGACCAGAACAAACCCCTGCTCACACATCTCTAAACCTGGAGTTTTAAAGGTCAGCAGGCGTGGCTGGGATGGAGTCCAGAGAGTACTGCTCTGCTCCTGGATAGAAGGCAGGCAAAAAACTCTGAGGCAGACAGCATGGAAACAGCTATCTGAAAAACACCTGGGGAATAGAGGGGGAGATTATTCCCTCTTCTCACAGTGCTTCTCTGAGAGGTGGTATACACAGAAAAAAATGGAAAGACCATAAATACATGGAAGTTAAACAACATCCTACTAAACAATGAATGGGTCAACCAGGAAACATAAGAAATTTAAAAATACGTGGAAACAATGAAAATAAAAACACAACAGTCCAAAACCTTTGGGATGCAGCAAAAGTGGCCCTAAGAGGGAAGTTTATAACAATACAGGCTTACCTCAAGAAGCAAGGAATATCTCTAATAAATGACCTACCCTTATACCTAAGGCAGCTAAAAAAGGAATAACCACCAAAGCTTAACGCCAGGAGACGGAAGGAATTAAAAAAGATTAGAGTGGAAATAAATGATATAATAAATGATATACAAACAAAGAACAAACACACAGAAGAACAGATCAATGAAACCGGGAGTTGGTTCTTTGAAAAAATTAATAAAATTGATAAACCTCTAGCCAGACTTACAAAAAAGAAAGAAAATGACCCAAATAAATAAAATCACAGCGGCTGAGGCACGGACACCTCGGCAGCCACGGAGGCGGGCTGCGGCGGGCGCCGACTAGGCCCGCCCCCTTCCCCCCCCTCCCCGCCCCACCGGCCGGGCCGCCGTCAGCTCTCCTCAGCGTCCGGCCGAGACGCTGTGAATGCTGACCCGCTGCGACCACAGGCTGCTGCACGTCCTGGGCCTTAGCTTCCTGCAGCTGACCCGCTGGCTGCTTTTCCTCTGCGCTCACCGCCTCATGAAACTGCTGGTCATGTTCGTCCTCGGCGGTCCCGGCGCTGGCAAGGGGACCCAGTGCGCCCGCATCGTCAAGAAATATGGTTACACACACCTTTCTGCAGGAGAACTTCTTCATGATGAAAGGAAGAACCCAGATTCACAGTATGGTGAACTCACTGAAAAGTACATTAAAGATGGAAAGATTGTGCCAGTTGAGATAACCATCAGTTTGTTAAAGAGGGAAATGGATCAGACAATGGCTGCCAATGCTCAGAAGAAAAATTCTTGATTGATGGGTTTCCAAGAAATCAAGACAACCTTCAAGGTTGGAACAAGACCATGGATGGGAAGGCAGATGTGTCTTTCGTTCTGTTTTTTGACTGTAATAGTGAGATCTGTATTGAACGATGCCTTGAGAGGAGAAAGAGTAGTGGTAGAAGTGATGACAACAGAGAGAGCTTGGAGAAGAGAATTCAGACCTATCTTCAGTCAACAAAGCCAATTATTAACTTACATGAAGAAATGGGGAAAGTCAAGAAAATAGATGCTTCTAAGTCTGTTGACGAAGTTTTTGATGAAGTTGTGAAGATTTTTGACAAAGAAGGCTAACTCTAAACCTGAAAGCATCCTCAAAATCATGCTTGAATATTGTTTTGATAGCTGTTATCAACCCCTTTTTAAGGCAATTTTAATCTTTCATAATTACATCTCAGTTAATGGCTGGAAAGTATGTAGTAAGACAAATTAAATTTTTTATCTTAGATTTTTTTGGTTATAGGAGTAGACAGTGAATTCAGGTCTAACTTCATCTTAGCTATGGTGCTCACAAAACAAAGAAGGATATTAGCTTAGTTCTTTGTTTTTACTCAAAAAGCATATCCCTTCTATAGTTTGTGCCTTCTGTGAGCAAAACTTTTTATTATGTCTGTATATCCCTTTAATAATTACCACATGTTAGGATTAGGGATTCCCCACTTCCTTGTTTTCTTGCAGGTTTTAAATTTCCAACCTGTTAAGTGAATTTGTGGACCAAATTCTTTTTTTTTTTTTTT